CTCGTTTTCCTGGGTTATTGTATTACCTTCCCAGTTTTTGCAGATGCTATGTTGATATACGGACTATTTGTTAACATTTGTTGATTACGTTTGGTCAGTAGCTATATACCAGATATCTTCCAATCAGTTGTACTATCAACGCCTTAACTCGCTGAATTTACTACATTCATCAGTCATTCAGTTCTAGTCTACACTAACTAAGAATCTTTCTCCATGTAAAGAGTTCTAAACGCTATTTATTCCTTGTCTCAATTTTATTTATCTATGTGTGAATATGTCCGCTCTAATTTCTTCAGCGAAAAAAAGTGTTACCACACCATATTTTATTTTTTTATTTTCACAGCATACAACCATCAATCATTTACTCGTTTTAATTGATATTGAACAATTCTATACCTCTTCCGAGTTATATTTCACTGACGGAAGAGTACGTTGGGATTTTTTTGTGTCGTTTCCTTAACTTTTAATGAACATGAGTAATTGATGACGAACAAGATTGGACTATTTCTAAGCTTTATGATTGTATCAGTAATGTGATTATTTTGTATCTTTTCTTTATCTTTACATTCATTATTTTGTATCTTTTATTTATCTTTTATTTATTTTTATATTCATTATTTTGTATCTTTTATTTATCTTTACATTCATTATTTTTGCTGGAAAGATGACCACCTTATTCAAGTGGAGGAATTCTATCTCGATAAAGCGTATCAAGAGGACTGCATTTTATGTACGTATACAGAAATATTTTTTCAGGTTGTATATTTGAAAATATATTTTAGGTTAACAGAATGGATAATACTTGTAGTTTTTCTGATATGATTAGGAATTTGAGATGAACTTTTCCAAAATATAAACCCCCTTGTAGATAAATGGACGGTACTGTTCTGTAGGCGTTCTATAGATCCCTGTCCCATTGAACTGTTGTTTTTCTAATATGCAGTAGCCTCCCATTAACTTCCGCTTATATATACCCATAAACAGTTAGACAAGGACACTTACGATGACCAGAAGCTCAATTGGATAAAGCGATCGCATAACAATAAAGGTCACAGGGTTCGAATCCCGGTCTAGACCCGCGGAATTTTTACACTGAAATCACCATGTTCCTCCCTTCCCAAACACGTTTGTAGGTCTCGGAATCGCATTATTTTGGCTGCTTTTAGTCGAAAACTATAACTAAGTGTTCGAAACTGTTTTTTCCGGCATGACTATTATATTTGATAAATCATTCCTGAAAAGAAAACTATACCCCCCGGGAATTTGATGATACATATTAAAGATGAAAGAAACAAAATATAATTTACAATCTTATACTCTTTCCTCTAAATTGTACATTTGTAATCAAACATCATATATACATATTGCTAATTCAATAACATGTGCATTGGTAACACTGTATACCATTATTTTGGAAACGAAAGTGATATGAAGAATAGTATCAATTTACACTAATCATATAAATGTGCCTTAAGTACCTGAAGTGCAATTTTACCATTTTTTTACCCTCAATATTTGTTATTAATTGTCTGTCTCCATAGTGATACCAGGTACATATGTAACATAATGACACACTATATTTTCGTAAATGAACAACAACAATTGGTAGATATACTTTCCGTGAAATTTTATTCCAAATATGTTTTTTTCACCAAGAATTACAACTGCGATGAGAATATTCTACATTTTCATTCTTATTTCAGCTGTCCTGATGAAGGGATGAAGAGCCTGCACAGATCAAACAGAACAGCATACGCATTGTTTCCAACTCACCAGTCTTGTTAATTACACGTTACTGTTAAATAAAATCAATAAAGAAATAACACCCAGATATATTTAATGTTTAATGTGTATCAATCTCTAGCGTACATATTACATCTTTACGTAGGCAATATGCTATACTGATATGGGTCACAACACACATAAACATACACATTGTGTATGTTTATGTGTGTTGTGACCAGTATATCAGTATAGCATACGTGTATTTCAGACATTTGTAACGAGACCATGTGGCCTTATCAATATATCTTGCAAAATATATCAGATATCTTCCATATGTTTCATACAATTTCGCAATATATACGCAACATCATACATAGTTTTTTGAAAACCATTTAATGTTAGGTTTGCTTACAAGACGAAACCCTCTTACATCCTCCTCCCCCTTGGAAATGTTCGAGCCAACCAAAGTACCATTACCGAGGGTTTACAACACATCCCAAGCGTAAATTTTCAACAACATTTGAAAAAAAAACCCACCTATTTATCGTTTTTCTCGATAATATGCTTTAAGTAATTATCT